ACATCAATATCTATATGTTATGATTATCCTCAGTATTAGGAACCACCAACTAATCATCATCACAACTTCAAAGTTTCCTCTCTATTTCAGCGATAATTTGGTATATTTTCTTTATGTTACACCAAAGTAGACAAGACATTCATAACACAATTTTTTCAAATATAGGTTCAAGTAACCTTCCCATTACTTTTCTATTTTAATTTTATTATCACTGAAAAATTTATCCATTCCAAAATAATCTTTTCCTAGGGGTTCAAAAAGGCCATGGACAAATGCTTAAAATGCCGATGCTGCTATGCTTTGAAAATGTACTCTATTCCAGAAATTGTGAATAACTGACTCTCAATTTGCTAACTAGTGTAGGAACTTTAAAAAAGTTAACCCATATCTTTAGGGATTACCACCAAGTGGTCATGTCAGGACTTCGAAAGTTATAAGAATCCTTCCCTAACCTCCCCACCCCAAACTTTGTGTTTAAGGTAGGTATATTTCTCCCACTGTCAAAATCAAAGAGTTTTTAAAAATCAATACTTCCTTTCTGCTTATAAATTATATTGGAAAAGAGTCACATGATGGTTGTGATTTATGCCTCAGGTTAAACTCCAAAATTACATGAAAGGTCTCTGCTTACCAACTGCCCTACATATTGACAAATTTTCTGAAATCGCTTTTACTACATAACTTGCCTATTCTAGAATGAGAAGGGAATCTCAACTTCTGATAGCGATGAAACCCTTGTCTGTTTCCTCGGCCGCTCATCTATCTGATCCAGCCCCATATCACTGACTTTGCTCATTTTATTCCTTTTCCAGTCCCACCGCCCCCCGCCCCACACCCATGCCCCTGACACAGACACAACGGGAATGCCCCCCTCGGGCTGGCTGATGGCGATTCCATCTGCCAGGCAAGGCTATAAAGTCCCTTGCAGTCAAGCTCACAAGAGGATTTTACCTTCAAGGAAATACAGAGCATCTGCTCACAGTCATAAAACATAGCATTTGATTGCTTTTAATACAAGACAATACTATGTGTAAAGTTGGTTTTTCAAATTTTCAGTGAACTCCCCAAAGCCTATGATCTGTCTACATATTTTGTTTCTCTCACGGTGACTAGAGCAGTGAAGGGCTCGTGACTTCTTAAAAAAAAAATTAGCATTTTTTTTATGGTGGTAAAATACACATAGCATGACATTTACCATTTTTAAGTGTACAGTGCAGTGGCATTAAGGACATTCGCATCGTCGTGCAAGCACCGCCACCTCCCACCTGCAGAATGTTCTGTGACACTATCGTCGTAGTCTACAGGAGCCAGTTAGTGTCTAATGACACGATCCGGTTTTACTTCACAGAACTGCACACCTAAAAATGGTGTATGTTAGTTACTGTGTATTAATTACACTTCAATAACATGGATTGAAAGCAAGATAAGGAGGGACGTAGTGGGAGATGGGGCCGGTGCCAATCGAGACCCAGACCGCAAGGGGCAGGAGCACGGAGAGAGAGGTGGGGTTTTATCAGACGACGTGGGGACCCGTGACGGGGTCGCAGAGAGCAGTGGCGTTCGCTCACGCACTCACTGCTAACACTTTTGAGCATCTACGCTCCAGGCACTGTTTGAGCCACTGGAACTGGTCAGATGTATGTTTCAGAAAGCTCGTCCAGACCACACGAGAGATGACTGAGAGGGTTACGGGGAATAGGGTTTGCCATCGTCCCGGTAAAAAGTACTAAATGAAGGCAGTAGCAAAGGGGATGGACAGACAGCGAAGGCTCTACGTATTTTTACTTTTGTCCACAAATAGGGCCACCACGAAATCACTGGTTCCATCGCTGTGCTCTTACTTTTTAATCACTCAAACCAACGGTTATTTCAACCTGAATGAATTCGATGCGGCAAACAAGCATTTTGTGAGATCCGTCAGCAGCAAAGGATCTGTGGTACAGACAATAACACATAAATTGAGCACGTGTTATATTCAAGGCACTGTGGTGAAAATGGTCAAAGTAGATCAATATGATTTTCGTGGAATGTTTATGGTCATCACAATGATATCAGAAGGCGGATTTCCCACAAGCCTTGTTGGGGCGAAACTGGAGAGGACGTGAATGTTTATCAATTCCGCATTGAGTGGTTAAATAGATGGTGGGAAACTATACTGTGAAATACCATGCGATGGATCTATGTGTAGTAACCCAGAATGATCGCGAAGTACACCGTTAACAAAAACATGAGTTGCAGAACGTATTAAAAAGCACGATCGCATTAATGTAAAAATGCTGATTTGTTTGCATATGTAAACATCCCTATAGATACAGAGAAAAAGGTTTGGAAAAGAACAGAGGTGAGGGGGTTGGGGATGAAAGCGAAGGAGCCTTCGGTTTGCGATCCACATCGCACTGAGAATCTCACCACGTATTCCTTCCATAGAAAACTGCCGTTTTATAGGTTAGTGTTAACAAGTGTGTAGACTGTATTACATCGTGGCTCCTACTTCATACGGCCTTTACTGGTAATTCAAATCATGCAATAATCCTCATGGGAATGGCTGAGGCTATACATGTCTGTGCATACATGCTCATGTGTGTATCTTTTTAATGTGCCAGATTGCTTTTAGATTGTTTTTTTAAAATGGTTGACAGTTATGTATATCAGAGGACATGTGAGATGAAAACATTCCGGCTATTGCAAAGGGTTTCTCCTTGAGTTACAAAGAAACTATTTAAGAGAAATAAGTCATATATTTAATGTATTCTCACTGAAGTAATTAATTAAGAAACCTTTAGAATGCAAACCTATTTATTGCAAATGAGCAAGTCAAATCACGATAGTCTGTGGTCTTTTAGTTCAAAACACACTGAAATGGCACGCAATTCATTCTTTCCTATTTTTACAATTATGTGTCATCTGCATTTTAATGCCACAGACGTCATTCGGTGATAGCAGAAACTGTCGGGTCGACGCTGTCTCTAACTGTCTGGGCTCTAACTTTGTTTTCTTGGTTTTCAAATTAATATCTCCTACAAAGACTTAGTAGAAAACTGGGCATGGAGTGGTGGAGACTTTTTATTGATTTATTTTGAATTTTGTAAAGAACGTTTTAAAAGGCTGTTAACGCAAGGCCAGTTAGCAACTGCTGCCCAGCTCCAGTTGAAAAATTAATTTAAGGAATGCACATGGCATTTTCAGGGCCTCCTTCTCAGACACACTAAAACTGTACTCTTTTCATCCTCAGCCCACTTAAAGTTTCTTTTTTTTTTAAAGGCAAGATAGTAGGTGTAAATGACTAAGAAGAACCCCAGAGGACGCTCTGCAAAGCCGCAGAGTTGGGAGCTTCATGTAGAGTGTCTTGATAAGAAGCCTAGACTATCTGTAACCTGCTGATTGTGAGAAAAACCAGATTATTAAGAACCTTGTGAAGCCAACAAGGAGCTTAAAACGCATGCGAAACTTGGGATGACACATGGGAACAGGAATCTCAGTACTCCGTTACTTTGGTCCACAGCGCTAATCATCTGTGACCCCAAGTGACATTTAGGAGTGACTCCTATCACAGATGCCAAAAATAAAAACTAAAAAAAATAAAGCCACGGGAAGAAGAGATAAACATCTTTAAGTGTCAAAAGAGAATTATAAAAATGTAGACAGGAAGAAGACAGAAACTGCAAAATCCACCACATGTAACATTTAAAAGTTCTTTCCTTCCTTGGAGTGACCTGAGTTGACTATTACAGCATGAGACGAGCGGACCAGGCAAGCAGGCTGCCGTCTGTGCATGTTAGGAAATGCATCTCCCTTTCCAGGTGTCCCTGCATTTCGGCCCCATTTACCTCTTCGGCTGGGCGGCCTTGTGCAGTGAGCAACCTGCACAACTCAGGAACATCACTTGTTTAGTAATGACTTAGTTCAGTTGCAGAGTGAGCGATGTGAACCTATGTGTTTGACCTGAATATGCAACAGGAAAGAGTTGGGGATTTGGTAAAGATGTGGTTCCTCACAGGTACATTAGCGCGGCACTCGTTAAATGATCTGAGCTGAGTATTAGAAGGGGTCACATCAGAAAGAGTTGATCTACACCTTGGTTATTATTTCTGCCAACCGCAGAGAGATCAGACACAAAATGACCCGTTACTTATTCAGATGTTAACACCATACACAACCAACACAGCCTTTCTCTTTCTCTATAGAGGGACTGCCTACTTCCAGTTTCCTAAGCACATTTGGAAAACTCTTGGTCATCAAGGCCTTGGAAGCCACACCTTTGTAGCAGAGCTGTCCTCAAAGCGGGGCGAGGTGGCTGGTCCTCCCGCTGGGAGAAATGCCTTCTCCACAACTTCCTGGATCCAGCCGGCAAAATCTAGCTCCTTTACCAAGCACGTTTATTTTAGTTATAACCGATTCAGCCTTTTGAAAAACAGTTTGATGACTCAGCGAGTTCCCCGAGTTAGTCTTAATCACCTTATTGGTTTACTCCCCACGTGCCTCCACGCCGTCCCCATTTAAGTTGTCATGTCCAAACATCCCAGGGGCAATGAGTCAAAGCTTGGGAAACTTGCAGATTCCAGGAGAAATACAGCAAGGAATCACCCCCTCTGCCTCCTCCCAGTAAAGAAGGAGCTGCCTGGGTCACCTAGAAATGTCTCAGAGGCCCCCAGAGAGAGGCGTGAACGCCCTGGGGCTTGGCGGGTGTGAGTGACAAGCCAGCAACATCTACTCTGGCCCGAGAGGGTCTCCGATCACCCAGGGGGGACAGCGGGGGGAAGGCATGGTGGTGGCGAGAAGGGAGGCTGCTGGCTGCTGACTTCGGCTACCCAGAAAGAGGACTTGTGTCTGGAAGCTGTCCCCAGCCTCCGAGAGGTCATGTGCACTCCGAGATTCTCTATGTCACACCAGTGCCTTTTCCTTAATTTTACATGAGCAAAATCCTGCCCCAAAACGACGTGAAAGACCAAGGATGCCTTGAAAAAGGCCTCGCTCGCCAAGGAAGGGGTCGGCTCGCTCACCTCGATGATGTAGAGGACCACGTTCTTGTAGAAGCAGTACAGAATGCACTTGGTCACGCGGCTGTAGCTCCAGGCGCCGTGCACCAGCAGCAGCTTCTCCAGGTAGGAGAACTGGAAGAGGGGAAAATACGGTTCAGGAAGGCCGGGCACCTGGGAGTACAAGTCACAGACTGTCCCTTGGGGGACATGACAGGTAAGGTCATAGAGAAAACCAGATTCTGCAGTTAGGCCGAGAAAAATCACGCTAGAAAACTAAAGATGGGAGGTTTCGGACCCAGTGGGAACAGCTAACATCTGTTCCCAAACCTATGTAACTGTCACCTCCCCCAAACATGCGGCTGGACGGCTAATTGCTATTCTCTCGCAATTCTATTAAGCAGATGCTCTGTAAGGGTCTTAATTATGAAAAGAAAGTGACCGCCTGAACTCGAGGAAAAGTCCAGTAGGAATCAGACACCTCTGTTCAATCACAGATTTTATGGTGACGACAGGAGTGAGGAACAGGTCACTCGTGCACCAGTATCTTTTTGAAAAATGAGACACACATATATATAAGACCTAGTTCTACTATCAGCCTGTGGGTTAAAAACAATTACAGACACACAGAGACACACACATGCAGAAACACACCTGTGGACACAGAGGCATATGGACACACAGAAACACACAGAAACACACACAGAGACACACGGTCACACACACATAGAGACACAAACACACACGGAGACACACACAGACACCCCTCCCCCTCCGCCTCTATTTCTGTGCCCGTTTTGTTGTTCTTTTGGCCTCTGCTAGCACAGGGCGCTGTGCAATTGGGAGAAGCAAACACCGACAAGCAGCCAGCACACTGAGCTGAGAGCGATGCAGAGGCTCTTCCAGTTTGACATATTTGGCGATATCCTAATATTCCAACAAAACGCTGGCACCCTCTTTGGGGCACACCCGAATCACGTCTCCTCAAGTCTCCCCCTCGCCTGGCCCCCTCGCCTGGCCTGGCCTTCTGTATCCTGTTTCACGAAGGTCCCAGAGGCGCGGACCCTGAGCTGGGAGGAGGGAGGTGATACTTTTCAGTTTCGTGGATTGCACCGTGCTCTGGCGTGAATGCACCGGTAGGGAGGTGCCTGTTGAAACTCACGGTTCCTGTACATTCCACGAGCCTCGCACACTTGGAATTGCCCCCCTGGTTGCCTTGAACTAAAACCTTAATTCCCTATTCTAAGGCACAGGACAGGGTGAGCTCCAGCTCGAACCCCATCGCTCTACATCCAGCTAAACTGGGGACACCCGCACATGTCAGGAATTCCATTGCCATTAGAAACGTCCTCTTAATTTCAGACAACTTTTGAAATTAAATCTAACTGGACAAAAGGCTCTGACTGAAAATACAATATATTTTCTAAAACATTATTTTCAAGAAGAAGCCACATGATCATTTCTGTTAGTTCTAAAGAAGATCCTCTCCGACAGCACATCACCTTTGAATGAGTTCTTCCAGAAGATCAGGAGGGGGGCAGGTCCCTCACCTCCGTACCCCAAAAGCTAAGTGACAGCTTCTAAATGGCAAGAGGAGGTGCACATGGAAAAATAAAACTGCCCATCGAGGGTCATTAAGGGTTCCAAAGGGGAGCGGGGAATCGTAAAAGAACTAGCTAAACAAATGAAAAGGAAGTTTGTAGGTGCCCGGGACACCCCAATGCTAAACTTCAATGGGCACACACAACACCTGCTGGAGTCATGGGGGTGGGGGCTTGACTTGAGCGTTACAATGATTTGTTTCCAGAAAAAAAAATACACTAAATCAAAATGCCGTTTTCATGAGGTCATTCAAAAAACATTACGAAGGCAGGGGGCAGAAATGATTCTCTCTGGGGGAGAAGAGGCAGTTGAGGGCTCCAGGCACACACAGGCTGCCCATGGGCCAGGCAGCACATCATGGGATGGCTGTCAGTGCCCGGAGGGCCCCGATGGATAAAGGCACGGGGCCAGCAGGGAGGACACAGAACGAGAGCCCCGCCTGCTCGCGATTTCCCCAGGACACATCTTGCAGCTGGATTTCCTTCTTCCGTACATAACCCCATGGGGCGCTTTCTCAAAAACTCCATCAAAAATATACTCATCCACATTAAAATGAACAGATAAAGACAAGCCTCTAGCTTCAACCGAAGACGTTTATCATTTCATTGGGGGCAAAGGAATTCATCCAGATTGTGGCATTTTCCGCTTTGTCGGCATTGAGGGGGCGCGGTGTTGAGTGGAGAGGCTGTCGGGCAGGGAGGAACCCTAAAGCGATGGAGCCTCTGCTTGATTATAAACAGGACCGTGGGATGGGATGTGGGGGGCATTTGTCTGTTCATTTGGCAGAGGTGACTCTTATGCTGGAGGGGCAAGACACGCCCTAACTAGAGTTACAAAGGCCTGCTCCCCTAACTTTCTTTGATGCTTTTAATTCGAAGAGAGCAATGGATCCAGATTCCACATCCTGTCAGTGTGCAGTTTCAATAAAACAGGTCATGGAATCACCTTTCCCCAGACATTTTAAAGACAAAGACAGACAAATATTTACCGGGAACTCCTAGGAAACCTCTAAAGTTCTCTCCTGGCCACATGATGCTATAACTCAAGGATTTAATAACACTGGGGTGTAGAACATCTACAGTCGCTGACAGACTACAGGAAGTGTGAGTCCCCGAGGCCTTGGCGTGGTGGACTCGGGCAAGCGAACGCGCAGGTGTGCGAGGCTGGTCCCCAAGGTCACATGCAGGTCTGGTGCTCTCTGACCCTGAATGCTCGAACCTGAGGCAGGTCACCTAAAGCGAAGGAGCCCCAGTTTTCCCACTTGTAAAACCAGAATTCCTTCCACCTGCCCCGAGCAATTATCTTGAGGATTTATTTGAAATCAGAAAAGGCACGCGATTGATTTCATGTGCTCTTCGGAGTCATGCGGATTTTGTAATTCCTCTCTCGGTCTGCAGAACCACGAGCTGGGAGGGAGCCTGAGAGGTGATCTAATGCAGAGCACCCCTTGAGGGGTGGGGGTGGAGCCCCAAAAGCCTCCCAGGACGCCTGCGGCCCTGGGCTGGCTCGAAGCTCTTTCCCATTTTATATGCAGCCTCTGACTTCAGCTTGAAGAGAGAAAGGGCCATTATTACTCATGTTTGTGTGATTAGGTTAACATGGGCTCCCAGAGCCTAAATACTGCAGGAGCACGAGGGAGCCCTCGCCAGCCGGCAAACCAGCAGCGTCTAATCACACTGCCACGATGGGGAGGCGGAGGGAGACGTTCCGTGTTCGTTGTCGTGTCTACACTCTGTATGATCCTGCAGGCCATGTGGTCTAGGTGTGCATCCTGGGAGTCAGGAGGCTGGCTGAGCTCTGCTTTTTGACTGTCGTTAAGGCGCAGACATTTCTTTCGCCCTCGGGCCTCCTGTACGGCTACTACGGTGTGTCAGGGGCCTCAGCATGTGACATCCCATCCGGAGAGGAAGGGGCTGAAGTGGGCCTAAGTGCAGGAGGCTGTTTGCTGCTGACCCCGGGGTTGCGATGACCCAAACCCAGCTCATGCTCTCAGCAGCTCACTTCCCAGCAGCACCCTGGTACCAGCTGCGGAGAGGGTAGCAGCTGTTAATCGCTAGGGATGCACTCCTAGACCACGTGGCCTGCAAGACAAGGCCGCCAAACTGCACAAGATCAAGACTACAGAGAGACTCAAATACGAGGGTGGTTTCGCCTACGCAGCACCTCGAAGGGGTAGCAGAGTGCTGAGGGCTGGACTGAAGGGCTGGACTCAAACGCCACGGGATGTCCCTGCCCAGCTGACACCCCTGCCAACAGAATGGGACAGCTGGTCAGCCACGCCTCTGACCTGCGCGATGGCATAATCCGAGTTGTTGGTGGCCTGCATGCCCTCGTTCCCGCTGATGCCCACACCCACGTGGGCCGTCTGGATCATCCCAACGTCATTGGCGCCGTCCCCGATGGCGAGGGTGATGGCATTCACCCGCTTCTTAACCACGTCCACGATCTCAGACTTCTGCAGAGGAGACACCCTGGAAGAGAAGAGAGAAAAACTGTGACTGTGTGTGTCCTTCCGGGAGAAACAGCTGTGATCTACATTTAGCTGCTTTAAAAGGGCAGTCATTGGACAATTTCCAAATCCAGTACATACGTTTTATGTTCATGTGCAAAGAAGTTTTCAGAAAACAGTAGCTTGTGGCTTTCAAACATTTGCCAATTGCACAGATGAAACATACAACTGAAAACCAACTGAAAACACAGCCTGTTCTCAATCACTCGGCTCCGTGGGAGCCGTACGTGCAAATCCCCCCAGGGCATGTGTGCCTTCCTGAAAGATATGGGCAGTTAAGCTGGCTGCAGAAGCCTCAGGAAATGTCCTCCCAGCGAATCGGAAAGCTGGCCCAGACCCCGGTTTTGCTTTGCTGTCCATCATACACAACCAGGGGCCGGCAAGGGAGTTTTCCATAAAACCTGCTTTCACGAGAGGGAACGTAAGTTGGCAGAGCTTGAGAAGGGCAGAAAGAGGACCAGAGTAAGAGGAGGAAGGAGGAAGGAGGAAGGAGGAAGGAGGAAGGAGGAAGGAGGAAGGAGGAAGGAGGAAGGAGGAAGGAGGAAGGAGGAAGGAGGAAGGAGGAAGGAGGAAGGAGGAAGGAGGAAGGAGGAAGGAGGAAGGAGGAAGGAGGAAGTCAGGCAGGCAGCCTTCCTCAGGTCCGCCCCAAGGCTGGAGGCGGCATGTGAAGGATGTCTGAGGCAGATGGTCCAGGCTGGGCACTCACAGGGCAGCAGGTTGCCTGCAATCGGGCTGTGCAGTAGCACGGCCCAAGGGGAACTACCGAGCAGCCTCTGCCGAACAGGGGCTGTGTCCCTGAGGACTCCAACAAGGTGGCTATTCCTGGGGCGTCCGGGAAGAAGACCCAGTGTGAACCGAGGGTGCCTAAGGCATAGTAACGTTACTTATAATGAGGTGTTTGTTCAGTGTGTAAGACCAGGCAATACGCCAGGATAAAACGGCTGGCACCTCAGGACTGACTGCGTGTTATTTTAAATTCTGAATTAGTGAGCTAATTGATTTGGGAAATTTACAGGTAAACTCCTGAATTACAACAACATGTGCGCGTGCGCGCGCACACGTGCGCACGCGTGTGCACGCACGCACGCGCACATACACACACACATACACACTCTAAAAGACCTTTCGGGTTTCCCAGAGGACTTGTAAGCAAGAATGGCCACTCAAAGCCTTTCCCAGCAGAACTATGAGCTTTCATAGGGCCTCCAACCCACAAAGATGCCTGTCTCCAACCAAAAAAATGTAAATTTTACCACCGCTGGAAAGAAAGTATGTTTGGTGAGACAGCAAGCTGAATTTAGAGCACAGACACTCCGAACACCATTGCTCAGTTACAAAGAAATAAAAACTAGCAAGTTAGAAAAACAGAATCTGAGAGTTGAAAGGGCTTTTGTTGCATGACCTTATATTCCTTTTATCATTTTCACCGATGGGACTTTACAGCCTCCTGGGGTAGCAACTGTAAAAAATTATTATTATTTCTTTTTTATTACCGATAAGCATACTTAAATGTCCTAATTCTGTCCTCTGGGCTAGACTACAACAAAAGTGAGTTTTCTTTCAAATATTAGGAAGGTAGAAATATAAAGATACCCCTGGCACCTCCTTCCTCTTAAATCTCGGTTTCCGCTGGCTAAACGGTCTCGGGTCCTCCAAGCGTTACTTAATAGACAGGCTTCGGAACTTAAGAATGACTCTCAAGTGCGATCTTTTAGACAGCTGAGAGCAAAATGGCACAGAATCACCGTCGCCCTGGTGGTAGACGCTAGACCGACCGTAATGTAGCCTGACATGAGATTACTGGAAAGTTCACTGTTGTTTATCATTAGGCTTCCCGTTAACTAAGTGTAAGCGATTTTAACGCACGCGGATGTAAGCGCTTTCTAGTCCCTCCCAGTGTGAGCAACTGCCACTTGGAGCCAATGGCTGACATTCCTCTCTCTCATTAAACGTCTGATTGGCAGACACAGTCACACTTCTAATTTGCTATGCGAATGGGATTTCTCATTTTATTTTCAACTCGACAGAAGTAGAGATCAAATACGGTATGGAGAAAACCACCTAGGATTCAAAGTCAAATAACTGAGCATGACTCTGCTGTGCTCCATACAAACTCAGTAAACAGGGAAAGTAATTGTATCGGTTCCTGTCTTTTCATCAATGAAATGGGGAAAATGAGAACCACCCGCTTTGGAAGGTGGTTGTGATATATCTATGGGAAATCATTCTGCTTACTTGCAAGTGTGAAACAGGTGTTATCTACTGTCGTCCCTGCAGAAACTCAGTTATTGGGAAAAAATGAACACCTCTGAGAATGGTATGCCATCTGACCTGTGATTCTCAAACTGTGTGTGTTGGTACCCTGGGATGCTATTGTGGGAGATTATACGTTTTCAAGGAAATATAGCAACATGCTTCAGGTAGTGATACAAAATACTAGCTCAAAGTAGCTCATAGTTTCGACATTAGATCACTCTACTCCTTTGCATGACGGACGCATCTTTGTGAAGCTGAGTTTTCAGGGCTGCTATGATAAAAAAGCAAATATACTGTGGAAAAAAAAAATCAATGCAGAACAGGAAACGAGAGAGGCGGGATCCACTCCTGCTCCGAGGTTTGAGAAGTCGTACAGGGCTCGGCTGGTGCACCGTGCCATGCCGTCGATAAGTGGTTATAGTTATTTGAAGAACAAAGAAAATAAGTGTTATTTCTTTCTTTCACATGCATTATTGTTTCAAATGTCCACTAAGTTGTTAGAATATAAATATTCCTTAAGTTGCTTGAGCTTACCTATTTAATAATTAGAAACTGTTCGGTTTTTCTTTTGGCTCAGGGGCTTTACAAAGGAATTACTGAGATGTTGGGGTAGTGCGAATCCAGAGAATCTGGGAACCAAGGGGTTCATCACTTCTCCCCATGATTACACACCGCTCTT